GCGGAATAAAACAACCTTACAGTCCTGTACATGACACGTAACTGAATATATCCGTGTACTCCGTCTTGTGCTTGAATCAGAAACTGTCCCTGATCAAGCTTTGTAGTTCTAACGCAATAACAGAGCAACCTGGCCGAACTTGCATTCTGGACTTTGAGTTACATAAGCTGACACGGTATTCAACTGTCGTGTGAGCGTAGAGGAAGTGGAACATTTTGAGGTGATTCGATATTCTATTGGAAAGATAGTAGACTAGAATAAAGTGATACAGGCTAAGAGGGAACGATCTATATTCAAATATTATTCCGATTTGGTGACTTCGACTCGATAAATCGCCTACTGTTCGAATAAGAATTCAACCAAAGAGAGTACGTTACAAACTACTCGTGAGTAGTACACGCAGTGTCATAGTTGACAACAGCTCTATTTTATCATAAACCATAGAGAAAGGAACAGGTTTTACCGAAAAAGTTTATCATATTTAAAGAAGGTAACCACAGATGAATGACCAGAAAAAATGAGAGCACGATAGTGTTTTTTTCTGTTAAGCAGTCGTATTTCCGTACACTCAAAAGCAGCGAAAGAAATCTGCGAGATTTAGATCGTTTGCATCGTCCGTTCACTGCAAGCTTTGTGCAATTTGACAGCCTTAATCGACTTACTCTTCTGACGCGCTTTCTTACAGGGTTCGAGAGAACGGAAAAGATAAGTGTTCCGTATACTGGCCCGGATCAACGGGACGTGAGTCCCCGAACGAGACGGGGACCATGAAACGAACGGTGCGATTTGGTCAGTTGACAATCAAACTCAGGGATGAGAATAGCACCAACACACATGTGAAGCGTAGATTCGATGTGCGCCGTACTGTAAGTGGTTCACTTTTTCCCCCATTTGTTTCATCGCATTGCTTCCTGATCCATTTCGAAGTTGCTTGCATTGACCAGTTACTTTCACCTGTTAACCTTGCCAATACTTTCACACCGTGTCTGTTGGCTTGTGTAATTCGTACCGAGTTTATCCGAACTACATCTGATGCATGTCCGAATGCGAGAACAAGAACGATGATCAAAATCAAAAGATGCACACGTGACCAGGGTAAATGAAGGACCCTGCCGCAAACTCAAAACACAAACGATGGACATCATCGACTTCGGTTGTCCTACTGATGCCAGTCCTCCATCTGAAATGGAGGTTTCTCGGGAAATGAGTTATCTAAAACGGCATAAAGCCTCCGGCCCAGACGGGCTGACCCCATCGGCTTTTAGGAATGGAGGCTCAACCTTAGTCTCGAAGTTAAGAAAGTTCCTGGGCTCAGTGTGGGAGAGAGAACAGGTTACATGTCAATGGTGTGAATCGGTCATCGTACCGATTTACAAGAAAGGTGACAGATCCTCTTGTGAAAAATGCAGAGGAATTAGTTTAATCAGCGTCGTCTCGAAACTTCACCTGGGATCGTACTCTGTCTATTGTCTGCCGCACGTGAACGGTACAGACGAAAAAAACCAGGCTGGCTTTCGACCCGGTCGAGGTTGTATCCATGACATGTTTACACTTCGCCAAACTCTGGAGCACTGACATTCTTTTCGTAAACCCACCATATCTGTCTTCGTGGATCTGAAAGCGGCTTTCGACTCAGTCGACCGCTCTAAACTCTGGCGCTGCCTTTTTCTGAAAGGTGTGCCCGAGAAGTGAATTTCAATATTGCCATCCCTTTATACTAATAGCTGAATTCGAGTCCGAGCTCACGGCACTTTTTCGCCCGAGTTCACTACAGAAAGTGATATTCGTCAGGGTCACCCTCTCTCTCCTTTTCTATTTAACTTTGTTATAGATCTGATTATGGAAACAGCCCTATCCTCGTGCGAGAACAGTGGCACCGATCTACTCTCAGGTGGCAGACTATGTGATCTAGAAAATGCAGACGACATTGTGGTACTAAGTGAAGATCCAGGTAAGGTACAAGCCTTTCTGGATAGTTTGAGTGCTAGTGCAACCAGGTTCGGTATGCGTTTTGCACCTTCAAAGTGTAAAATGTTACTTCAAGACTGGGTTGGTTCAACACCCAGCCTCACACCTAACTGAGGAAGTAATAGATCAAGTGGATAAGTTTTGTTACTTGGGCAGCTACATCTCACCTGGTGGACGCATCACGAATGAAGTGTCAGCTCACATACAGAAGGCTCGATTGGCCAAATTAAGACATCTGTGGTGTCGTCGTAAAATCCGGCTGTCTGTGAAGGGTCGAGTGTATGCTGCAGCAGTTCGGCCAGTTCTGCTATATGGAGCAGAAACTTGACCATTAAGAAAACAGGATAAAGACAAACTGTCGGTGTTTGAACACTACTGTCTATGCAACATTGCACGAATGTGGTGGGTCAGCCGGAAGTGCAATGCTGAGGTTAGGCGCAGTGTTAGGTAAATGCGGTCGCCCACTGGTGCAAGTGGTCGACCTCCATAGATGACGTTGGTTGGGGCATGTGTTACGCATGTCATCAAATAGGTTGCCATGGTGAGCGATGTTTGCCGAGGTAGGCAGTGAGTGGAAGAAAGTCAAGGTTAGCTAAGCTAAGACCTGGCATGAGGGTATGAAAACCCTAACCAGGAGTCTGGGTCACGTAGATCCCGTTAGGCTCTCTGAATGGGGACCTCGGGATGACCATACCCGATGGTTAGAGACATTGAGTGATATGGTTGTGTCGTAAACAGTGGCGTTCGTGCATTTTGTCAATTTCTCTGCAAAATTAGTGCAATGAAATTCTAAATTTTCACTAGGATCGTATTTTCAACCTTTCTGTCTTTCTCTTCCTGTCTTTCTCCTCACGTTCATCCAAATAGACCGCCAAATGACAGCAAACAAAACCGGCGCACGATGGTGCATGGTTAATCTTTGTAGAAACTGAAATGAACTGAAGTGTGACTGAAATGTAAGCATGGAATAATCAATAAACAGATGGACGTTTCACGTGATCCGATGAAATAAATCATTCATTGATCTAAGGGATTCATAATTTTTGTCTGAAGATCACGATTGGCAAATTTGCTTTGTAAATAATGTATTTTTACTTGTTTCGAAAAGAAGAAAAAGAAAAAAATATAGATTCAAAAAAGATAGCAATGTTTCGGAAAACTGTTACAAATCTTCCAGCTATCAGTAAGTTCTATTAACATACCCACGGACAAACGTTTCGTGCTGCCTAAGGCGCTTGATCTCGAGAAGTACTTCTGTGGGCGTGCAGTTCTGATGCTGTCTGTTTGTGAATCGTTGCTGCGGTTATAAGTTAACTTATATGGATTAGAAGTTACCACCCACAATAAAGAATATTTTAGGTCAACCCCAAACCGGTTGGAACTGATTTTAAACTGGCTGCAAACCAACATTCACCTCCGAGGTACGATCATTCCAGATTATATTTGCCGTGCTGTAGATCATTTTTGGTACTTCATTTCTTCTGCCTCGTATCTATGTGGCGTAGCAGTCTTTTCAAAATGCCAATCTCTATCATAGTTTTGCAACTAACGCAGGAAGTCAAGCTTATGTTCCAAATTATTAAGTGAGAAAACGCTATCCGTATGCCCTGTATTACAGAGGAGGCACAATCCGGTGTTATCTTCCCTCTGTTTTCACGATTTCCCGATTCGGTTCATTGCCATCCGGGAACACTCCCTTCCGTTCTACATACTCCTCATCGCGTGTACAGAGTGGTTAAAAATCAATGTTCATTCGTGCTACGGTGAATGTTCTAACAGGCGGTGCGTTGCAAGGCTCCATTGGTTGCCATGACATCCGCAGGTCCACAACCAAGGGCGTTCCGTAACACTGCATGCAAGCACATTCGTTTCGTGAGTACGATAGTGCATCAGGGTGCTGACTCTTTGATTCCGCGCACCGAAGCGCCGTCAGGCAACCTTTAAACTCCGTTTTTCTTAAAACGAAGCTTGCCGTCTACCCACGTATTGCATCGTACCGGGCTCGATGTTTGATACCACAAATCTTGTGTTTTCCACTTGACTGTCGTAGGAATAGACTGAGAGATTGATTGATCCGTTCCAATCCGTGTAATTTGGGAGCTATCAGCATTTATTGGACGACCGTTTGATGAGTAACATTCAGTTCAGATGGATCGTGCACGACTGCTAAAATCCTACGAGCATTTTAACTGGTGAATTTGAAAAAATACAACATACCTATTTTTGGCTCAGTTTCAGTCTAACCTATTTTCGAATGACACTGTTCAATGTCGGGACGGAAGTGGCATTTTCGAGCAACGTGTGGAACCAGCTCTATCCCTAAATCTTAGATTGCTGTTTTTATGGAACCTAGACCTGTGTTATCTTGCTCCTTCATATAATCGCTTTTGTTCAATGAAATTTCTATCAGACAAGCGACGCATAATCGATAGCCGGATAATCAGACCGCACTGACGTAACATTTTTATCTCATTTCTCCCCTTTTCTTTACGATCTACTTATTAAACAATCCCATAGAATGACCCTAAAGGCGAAGAACGAACAATCACTCAACTTCATATGATGCAATGGCCTGATTTCTCCGCCCCGTCCAAGGATCATTTCAGCGCGCTACTTTTCGCCTACTGGGCTGAACGGCGGTGTTGTGCGAATGTCGAAGCCCCGGTACTGATTCACTGCAGGTAGTCAATCCCACCTTCAACCTTCCCCCCCCCCCTAAATGTACTCGATACTCAAGGATTTCAGTGCCGATTGAATGACACTGGTGAAAATGGAAGATATTTCTAGGGGGAGCAATGGGGTAAAGTTCAACGAAGAGTTACCACAGGTTATCCGACGGGGGCCTTAAAATTTCCTCTACGCAATCTGTTACTACGTCTTCGGGCCACCACGATATCTCCGGTGTTTTTCTGAGTCCTTTGCATGAAGTTTTACCTTAGTTGTCATCCACGAAATTCAATCCTAATCATCCACATCGGTTTTCATATACCCATTCCCGAGGTACCCTGGATTCCCTTGCTTATCTCTCACTTTGTTTCATCCACCCGTGATAAAGAAGTAGGGTTGTCCGCATGTTTTCTAGACTATAGTGATACCATCAACAAGCAAATAGTGTTATTTACCCCTTCTTCAGGCGGCGTTCAACCTCCTACGATTAAACTCTTGCTCAACTATTTATCCAACCGTCAGAAATTCACATGCTGAAAAGGTGTACATCCTCACATTTGCCCTCCTCACAAGGCCTTATGAAATGTGTTATTTCAACCTCTTCTATTTTCCGTTTCTATTTCCTCTAAGCCCGTGAGCAATTATTCTCTTCTTGTTAAGTATGCTGGCGATAAAATATTTAGACCTCTCTACCCCTAACCCATTATCTCAGACCAACCTCAACCAACAAAGCTCCGTATGAACCCCAAAAATGTAATGGCCTAATGCTGTCCCTTTTGAAAGGCTAAAAATATGATGAACTGGTAAATGTCGGTCTCTCTTTATCTATCTTAAATAACCAGATGAATCGACTACCGTCAGTCAGATACCTTTGTGTTATTTTCAACCCTAACCTTATCTATTTTACCACATAAATACAAATTTTCTGAATGTCAGAAGGTTTATGTTTTATTTCGAGTTAGCCCATTCGAGTCCTGACAGGGACACGAAAAGTACGCACTGCTGACGAGTCCCAAACAGGACGAAACAGCTATCCAATATTCTTTGTTGGTTATCATAAACATTTCCATCGCATTTATTTACGTTTTATGTTTCACTTCTTAAATCTATCTCCAGTCATCGCATACGGTGTTCTTGCTTTTGCTTGTGTTTGGCCCAACTGTATTTATGGCTCCTCTGTTATCTTTCCCAGTCTTTTGAACAAGAACCACCAACTCGTTTCCCGAGCTTTCTAGTTTCTCTCCGTATACAGGTATACACCACGGGAAAGTCTGTCACAGCATACGGTAGCACACCACCTCAAGTTCTGTAAAGCACTCACCAAGAAGATCTCATCTTATTGTTCCCATCCTCTATATGCTGCTCTTAGTCGGGCCTTTCCTTTTCATCCACCCGTTCCAGTTGTAAACACACAAAGGCACATACTGTGACTTACAGGCACTTTATTGTTCGATATCTCATCAGATTTCTCATGAACCATTTGCCCAGTGCATAAAATCTGCCCAAAATGTTAATCTCAACCGATGATGAATGTCGTGTTATGTCATTGGCTTTGTGATGTTGTTGTTGTTGTCTGGTTCATTTTCTTAAGTTGCTGTATTATATTTCCAATTGTTTCATACCCTGTGGTTATGTAGTTGTTGAATAATCATCCGTTTAGGGTGTATAAAGTGACTTTTTGACTTGACTGACCCTGCTTGACACTCATTTCCGTGTGTGCACGAGAGGTTAGAGAGAAAAGATAAACGGGTGTTGTCGTTCTGTCTGAAAACAGGATGCTTCGCTACCGCCAGTCCGATTACGAGTGACCCAAATCATTGGTTGAGCGGTCCTTAACCAGTTGCCTAATCAAGACGATACCCCCTCGTCGATCTTTAACCACCGACCCATTTTGCACAAGTCTGGGCAAATATGGAACGTGATGTGTTTTGTTATTTTGATCGGTTTTGTGGATTACTTTATTCAATGCATTATTGTCCTGTTTGCCACTTGAGTTACATGTGTTGTCCCCTCCCCTACGGTCAAATCAAATGGTATTGGACAGTGTTGTTTGTGTCCAATCGGTCACTACGGAATTTCCGGTTTACGACTTTAGCCCTCAAAGTGATGTGAAGTGCTACTCATATTTGTGAGTAGTTTGCCCGCATCAAGAAGTGGTCAGTGGATTCCCACGGCATCCGCGAGTGCATTACAGGATTTACTTTTGCAAATAAAGAGACAAATAGACTTTTTAGGGCTGGCAGTCAGCAATGAAGAGACGATCACGAAAATACTAACCAATTATTGCAAATTAGATATTTCGTTCTCTGTTGACTTATTTACCCTATCCGGTGCTGTTTTTCAAATAGTTCATTGTCCTCGTCCTGGCACTCACTTTATTATATATATATATATAAAGGTTGCATCTAATGATAGTTTTCACCTCCCATCTGTTTAGTACATTCCTCTCAATAGGTTCTAATCAAATTCATTTCCATGGTGGGTCTTTATAATTTGTTCCCCAGAAATCCTCATAGAACGTTCAGTAACCACTTGGTTTCCCCTATTTCGATTTACAAAAAACACAGTGCGGGTGTCGGACGAACGGGGACATTCATTTGTCTGGATCAATTGTGCCAACAAGTGAGATATTATCTGCAACCAGATTTTCAACCATTTCTTCTCACTGCGACCCGTTCAACTGTGGCGGATGAGCCGATATACGCCAATCTGAACACAGATTCCGACGAACCGGGGGTTCGTAACTCGCTACGACTGGGCGATACAGACGGGACAGACACACCGACAACACGGTCTTCCAAAGCGTTGTCGATTAGTGCAGAGCAAACAGCCACATCACGCGATGCGGACGGAAATTCCGCTTGGCCAACCCTACTGCCAACCACTTGGAATGTTTCGGGTAATCGGGGCTGGTCGCTCGGTCGGATGAAACGTTTCGGATTGGGTAGAAAAAAGACGCATTGTGTAAATGTGTACAAAACTGTGCTGTGGCTTCGTTCGCATCGAAGTTACATGGTACAATCAGAGGTAGGTTTGGTGTTTCACACAGGGCTTCATTGTTCATTTGCTTTGTGTTTCAGGATCAATATTTGTTTATCTATCGATATCTGTCACATTTTATACAACAAATCAATGATTCTGGTAAGTTCAGCTTTATCCAAAAGGGATTGTCTGCTAAATGTTTTATTCGAGTGTTACAAACGGTCCTTTCATTATCATATTTTTCATCTCATTTTTCAGAACAAATATATGAAAACATTTAATTTTTGCGTGGATCATTTGGCATGAATCTCAATCAACGCATACACTATTCCATTCCCGACGGATTTTATATGTTTCATCGCCTAGGACAGCAATCCGAATCGTTTATTCCTGTTCTTCCTCTTCTTTGGTATGGTTCCCCGGGGGAAACATCGGAAGTTGGTAGTGAATACTTCGATCAGTAACAGTGAGAATGATAATACGAAATGCTACCACTCTCACCCACCGAGTCACATGGACCCATATGTATGCCACACACACACACACACACATACACACACACAGTTTCATCTTTAGCAGCCCAGTGATTTTTATGCTTTTTTTTATTTTATTTTTTCTTGTTCCGTGTTTTTGTTTTCTCAAGAAAAACAAACAAGCGAATATCTCGTCCGAAATGTTTTGGCATCCACTCCAATCTGGTCAACTCATGACTGTCTGAATTGACGATGATCGTATGGCACGCGGTATGGTGAAAGCGGTGGTATTGAAACTGGTTTTAGTTACAACCAATCAGGCATTTCTTTCTACCCATTC